AAAAATGTAATATGTAATTTTAATTATCTTCTTTTTTTTTGGTAAATAAATTTATTTTCTTTCTTCTTCCTTCTTTCTATCTATTACATTTAACATAAAAAAGAGCTTAAAATTTTACTGTGTGATAATGACTTCATTGTCTTCATCAAAAGCTTTTTTTAAATTGTTTTTTAAATATTTCCTCATTAAATATACATTTGACGAAGTATAAATCTGCATTTAAATTATTTCTTAAATATGTCCTCACCCATTACACCTCTACGCCTGGCCAATTGTATATTTGCCAATTGGCCAGGCGTAGAGGAGTAAATTTTTTTAGTGAATTGAATAGCAATTTACTAACAGGCCACAAAGAAAACCACAGGACACAGCGTGTTTTAGAAAACTAAAAGTTGTTCGCGTCATGTTTTATTCAATCTTATCCCGATGAGTGAACAGGTTTATTAACGATTATTCTTTGCGCTCGACCGTATGTACATTATGGTAGTGAAATAACTAAGCCGATGTGCGCAGTACTTAGGTACATTACGAGTGTTTAATGTGCTCGAGCCGAGAAGTTTGTGCGCATTCACAAATGAACTTCTTATTGCAAGTTTAATGTGGGGATAATGAGCGGAGCGGAGTGCAGTTTCGAAATCTGCGCGCGTCTCGTCGGAGATTGCTCGCGCCCGCCTCGGGCCGTCGGCCATCTGTTACGGTTTCAAGAAGTTCCACTAGACGTTTAGTGATGTCCCTCAGCTATTTATCGATAAGTATTCGATACTTAATTCTGACGTTATGTATTTTTGAAATTTCACTATTTTTGGTGCGTTTGGAAAATACTAGAGTGAAATATTTACTATAGGCGCGCACACCGATAGAAAAAAACCGATATGATGCAGTTGGCTGAAAAGCGACCAACATCGACCAACTTGACGGTATAGCCACAGCAACCAATAACAACTTTTTTGCATTTTCTTATAATTTATCTGTTTTCAATTGCATTTAATGTCTTTTCACATTTGTTTATTATTATTAACTAAATTCACAACAGGGACAACATTTAGTAACTTCATAAGTGCGTACATAAGTACACACATCTATTTTTCACTATAAGTAAGATAATATTTTTCAATTGTTTTTTATTATTAATTTCACATTATTGTGTTTAATTTTTATTATTGTGTTTATTTATTTGATATCGTTAATAAAATGTAATATGGGAACTTCACTAAACACGTCGAAACTTGTAAATTATTAAATAAGTAGTTTTTTAGCCATCACTTGTACACACAGCGGCGCGACAGATGGCGTTGTTTAAAGAAAATTAACTGTCAAATGGTTTGTGAAATAGATCCGGTGGGACGTATTATGTTGTGCCGGTATAAAGATGTACTTAAGGGTGACATCACAAATAGTGATGGATGCGCTGGGCGATAAGACATGAACGTCATTTAAGTTTTAAACTTGCGGTGGACGTTTTAAAGTTTTATTTGGACTGTTATATAATTGGATTGCGACATACCAGGGTTGTCAATTCACCTACCTTTTTTATCGAAGGTGTAGTGTATGAAAGGCGTATTTGTGAGCCAATTTACAAAGGAATACCTCTTTGTCAATGATTTCCTACTCTATTATTGTGATTGTACCATTGATCTCTATTTGCCCCATCTGAGGATTTTCTTTACTACTGGGAGGTTCTTTAAGGAAGCGGTGAATACGATTTCACTGGTAGCCTACATTACTGCTTAGATAAAGATTTTATTCGAGCGTTAGTTCAGTGCACAAAAGTTTGTTCAATTATATTAACACTTAAAACCCAACGGGAAGAATTTCTTTGTCAGACGCTTGTTAATAAAACTGGCCATCTGATGTTAAGTGATTATCACCCCTCATGGTCGTGTACATAACAACCGAATACTTTGGGTTACAGATGCATTGCCAACCTTTTTAACCGACTTCAAAAAAGGAGGAGGTTTCTCAATTTGACCGTATATATTTTTATTTTTTTTATGTGTGTTCGTGGATATCTTCGTCGTGTATGAACCGATTTTCATGATTCTTTTTTTGTCCGAAAGGAGATATCCCAAGGGTGGTACCATGATAAGGAAATCCGGATCTGATTATGGCATCCCAGAGAAATCGTGGGCCATCATTGAATGTTATAGGTATTAACAATGTTTTTAATTTTCTGATTGAAGTCGGTTTTTTTTGGTAAAAATTATACTTGTTAGACTCAACGAAACGTATGATAACTCCATAACAGTCTGGACAAGTACGTCCTCACATGCAATAGTTCCGTGTGGCCCGACCACAGATAAAATACATACACCACAGTTACATAAACGGTATAGATAACACACTGTTCAATATTGCCTATTCGCATAACGAGCGACAAAGCATAGAACTTAACCAGCTTGGTATGGACAAGCACTGATACTTGTGTTTGTAAAAACTAATTGACAATTTCAATTAGTTTTTAGTGTAGAAACTACTGTTTGGAAATTGCTATAGCACTGATTTAGTGTTCATATACCTATCTACCTATGAACCATGGATGCCAGAACAACAGTTCTGGCATCCATGGTTCAAGAAATTGCACTATGCCGTCATCATAGTTGTGAGAAGGTAAGGTGTCTTTTCCAAATTGCTATCTATTGAGTGCTCCAAAGTATTATATCATTTGACTTTAAACACCTTCAACCGATTTCAAATACTTCACTCACTATATGTTTAATATTTGGTTTCGAAGAATTACTGATGTGTCCCCGGAGTCAATGCCAATGAAATTATAATCGGATCATTAAAGATGGAGTTGTACAAATATCCATACGAGTTTGTGTTCTGAAAGAAATGCCTTGTTGATAATTTTATGACAGATGGTAAGTGAGGAAATGGTTTGTGAGTGGTTCACTCAGAAGACGAAGGAGACACAACTATAAACTCTTCCAATCTAGGCAATGGAACTTCACCATTACGGCAGCAAATCCATTACAGCACCAGTAGCAACTGCATGACTCTACCAAAGTAAACACATCGTGGCTCACGCATCAGTAAGGTTTTCTATGTAAAAATCTGGCAAACGAGCAACTGGTTCACCTGATGTTAAGTAATTAACGTTATCTATGGACATCCACAACACCTAACTGATACAAATGCGTTGCCGACTCACCAAACGAAATGCGAAAGAATAATACTTCCACTTCAAGCCAGTATTTTGAGAGGTCGTGGTACTTTCCCAGATGAGTCTGCACATTTGTGCACAGATTGACAATCAAAGTTTAAACGTTGTGTCATTTGTAACTATAGTCTATAATTCCCTAAGATTAATAGCTGATGGAGAATGGGCTGATATGTAGTGGTATTTCACTACCTATACCGTTTCTTTATAATTAGTATTTTTTTTTCATTTTTTTTGTGTTGCTCTTTGTATTTAATTTTTTAACTATTCGTTGGTGCTTTTTGAATGTGATGTAATGTTATGTTTCAAATGATTTATAGCATTTTAGTTTTTCTTTTTATGTACTTTCTATAAAAATGTACCTATACAGTTGGTGTGTCTATAACAATAAAATAAAATTAAGACGTTAGACGTTTCCTACTGAACCCTATAAGTAGCACGCGTGTTCGGTCTTCGATGAAGTAGATGATGGCGTCTCTTAAAGCAACTTATCGTGTTAGCAGCGAATTTATCAAGCAACCGACGCAGCGTGCGCTGCTGGTGTGCGAAACGCCACCGCATTATATTACTCACTAGCCTTCACCCGCGGCTCTGCTCGCAAGATTCTCTACGCAATAAAATAGTGAAATTTCAACAGGATAAAAGTAACCTAGCGTGTAAGCTGTCTTTACGAATTTCATGCGAATCCGTCCAGGTATTGCGGGTAAATAACTAAAACAGTTCTTTCTCTATTTTTTCCTCCTTTTTATTTTTTGTTACAAATTTGTAATAGTAGATTACGTTTTTATAAAGAGTTTGGTATCACTAAAAGTGTTTACAAATCCAATCATACACACTCATACAATAACGGAAATAACTTTTAGATTTAGTTATGGGTCTCTATAATATATTAGTGAAGAGGCTTTTATTGAGCCACCAACAAATAAGCACTCTCTTAGATAGCGAAATACTTAACTGGCTAACAGTGAGATTTAAAATCTCTTCTACCATTTATAATAAATAAAACGCATATAAGCTTGTCTCCGTCGACGACGCAGGGCCGTAATCCCACAAAGTGACGTCACTCGCAGCCCGCACCGCCGCCTTTTGATCCCCACAAAGAGCTGCGCTGGGGCATGTCATGTGCCAAAACGATTTGCGAGACTTACTGATGATATTTAATTATATTAAAAGTGAAATTAATTTCGCTAATGGTCCCGTTTAATTAGTTAAAAAGATGTTGATGTAAAAGTTCGCTACGTTAATATCTTTTTACTAGTAGTCAGATTGAAAACAAATATTTCGGATTGTCATTATTCTCCGTTCAAGATATATTTGTCCATAATCAAAATTAAACGCGTAAACAGACATTAGAAGCTGTTCTTCGAAATAGCTATAGTGAAAAAATTTTCAGGAAATGGAATTATAGTTTACTTGTATTTCAATATCCAAGTTTTCAAATGTACATCAGTGTACATTAAATGAATTATTTTTTTTTCGAATGTGATAAAATTTGAGTGGAATTATTCCGAGAGACATACGAAAAAGTACATGAAAATACTTAAACTTTTTTGAAAATAGTGATAATATAGGAGGTGTTAACACTGAAAATTTTAGTACTATTTTATGTAACAAGAATTTTATTTTATTTATCAGAGAACACTATCTACTCTTAAAGGCGTAGTCATATTTTCATTTTCTTGACAATATACAATTGAAAAATATAGAACAGGTTGTATCAGTATAGGTATGCAGAGTGGAGAATTCATGTTAGCTTTCTGAACGTTCCCTTATGTTTTAACCAATCGGTCGAAGTATAAACTTATAAAGTAATAAAACGTTTAAGCATCCGCTAAACGCGATGCAAACCAGCTGTTCGAGTTCGCTGCGTGCGTTAAGATGCCCAATAACGGCGCAAATTGATTTGTGCCCGCGCTTCTGCGAGGTTATAATTTTCGCGCCATGCCGCGATCCCACGCTGCGTGGCAAGAATACGGGTAAAAGATACGCTACCATAGATAATGTATATTTTTAATTACGGTCTGTACGTGGTGTTCAACATCAAACAACATGGTGCCATATTCGTTATAAATAAAATATGAAACACAGATACGAATTCTTTTAATTAACTTGTAATGCGAAATTTGATAATTTTATATAATGTCAAATAGTAGGTTTATAATGCTATGGATGTTTTTCTCGACCAGTTGTTTTAACGTATGGCCTCGTTATAACTCATAATTCAACCAAATATGGTAATTAACATCACATATTTGGCACTCTCTACCATTCAATGGTCTATCCAATATTAGAGGTTGTGGAACAGTAAATATACTCACCACTTATAACTGTTCTGAATAACGGAATCCTTAAACGGGTATTTTCTACCAAAAATTCCATAATTATTCTATTATCCTTATTCTTGAATGTACTATATAACTATGTGTATTAGGATTTTTGAAAAGAGAACTCATTATATTAATTATGATAATACGAATATATGCCGTTTCCTAAACTTTGACTGTTATGGAAATCGTATTAGGTTATCCGAAATTTCTAATAAGGCGTAAAAAATTCTAGCCTTAGGAAAATATATAAATAGAAGTTTTTAAAAATACATCATCTGCATCCCTTCTCTTATTCAGCCACGTGAAAAAAGCACCCCTTTGTAACTACGATATGAACCTTCTGAATCAAGGAAAGTACCAGGGCGTCAGAAACTGAAAAGCGTGGCTTCTCACTGCGAACAATATACGCGGACCGTGAGCAAAAAGAAGCGCTAATGACCTCTGAATTATTTAACACACAAACTCTATCTATGCGCGCCTGGTGAAAAGGGTCTTTCACTTTGGCATCCGTTGAGAGTATTATGTTGGTTTTATTTACCTGTGTATAATGTAGTATATATTATATTCTTTTCTTAAATACTGTGTAATGTTTTGAAAGACTTTTCTCATTGATAAAAATTACTTTTGGTATTTTTTGATTATCCAGAAAAACGTCAGAAATTTTATTTTAATTCTTTGCAGTCTCAGTACTACGAGCTTTATGGCTAGCCCATCGCCATTTCAGCTTGTTGATCATCTGAGCTATGTTGGTTACTTTTGTTCTACTGTGGATGTCTTCGTTACGAACTCGTATCACGCAAAGAAATACAGAGCATAGCCCGCTCCATAGGTCGCTGAGTAACTGTCAACCTTTCACATGAAAAAAATAATAATTAGTTGAACAAAATTAAAACCGTACATTCTATTTGCTACTTACTTGTGATTGGAAAATTAATTATTTAGGAATATCCACACATTGTATTTTTTTTTATTTGCAAAATCGTATTGCTTTTTTTGTATTGTTACTTGACTGTAGTAGCTCAAGAGCTCTTTTATATTTTTTCTTATAGCTCTTTATCCCATTTCAAGAGAGGAGTACAAAAATATCACCCAAATAACAATTCGCTATGCTCGATATTTCCCAAAACACTCGAATGAATACTACAGACAGAAAATTGAGAAAAAAAAAATACGTTCGATTTCAAATCACTTCACAATAAAAGCTTACACCCACGCATTGTGCACGGAGGGATTGACGAGAGTCGAGTCAAGTGCGGAGAGCAATGTTGGAAGCTGGGTTCAGTACATAAAAAAGACATCAAATATTATTCAAGCCGTAACATAATCTAAGTTTATCTTCTTAGATTATGTTACTGTTTGAATATATTCATCATTTTTGCGAATACATTCATTTATTTTGCGAATTTGCGGTAACGTAAGATTTAGATATCAGGGGGAGTTAGCTAGTATATTATCATTTTAATTAATAGTACATCATCACTCATCGTAAGTATTGCCAAAATTTTCGAGGATATAGTTTGCGTAGAAATTCCCTCGTCGAGGACATCATCATAAATTAAAAAAAAAAATAAAATTAAAACAATCTTTGTAATCCGAAATCTGCTCTCAAACGTTATAGGTTTATAATTTTAAAATTTTAAACGTCTTTCATAAATTAAACATAATAAAAAATTATAAAAATAATTAAGATTTTGTACGTTAAAGAAATTCGACGAAACGTTCACTATAATTATTTCTTCTGTAGTAAGAGGAACTCCAAATGGTTTGGTTAATATTAATTCAGCCAATACTGATCAATTAATCGTAAGCAATGATGCGTTAAGTGTTCTATTATATATAACTCGAAGGGTTAGTGAAACAGTTTTTTTCCGAGCAAAAAGGTTAATCGAGAACAACCTTATTTCAAAGGCTTCTGTGGCATTTTTTTCCTGGTGTTTATTTTACAATTGGATGAGCACGAATAAAATTAACTTGTTTTATTCTCTTTTACGCCGCTTTAATTATTTTTTCTTAGTTCCATTTTTAAATTTCTGGCTGCGTAAACTTAAGATTTTCTATTGAATTCCTTTTTTATTAAAGAATATTCTTAATAATTAAAAACAAAATGTTTTAAAACGAAAATGTTTGAAAACTACCTATAAAGTACCTAATGTTTAAACGAGGTGCCATTTTTTCATCGTAGGAAATATTTATTTAGCTATTATTCTAGGTTCGATTCCGGAAGATGTAGATTCGATTCTTGCAACGAAAAACTTTAACTTCCATTTTTTTTTACAAATTTTAATGCTAGTGGATTTTGTTCGTGTTACAAAACATTTATTATACACGTTAAAACAATAAAGAAAGTTAACGTTGCATAAAATGATATATACATGTTGATATATGAAACGTATAACATAACGAGTTTTGTCATAGAAAACAATTTTTGAATTTCTATTTCAATTGACAACTTGAGTTCGATATCTCGGTGATAAGCACCATTAAAATTTTTCGTTACGATTTTTAATATTTTTTTATCACGTGCTCATCAGTGAGGGAAAATATCATAATGAAACGTGCATATTGTCTAATAATAATTTAGCTTAATAGCTGTACAACTCTTACTTAAACATAAAGTTTTTTAGTTTGTTAAATGGTTTATGGATGTTTTTATCAAACGGTTATATTTCTCAATTACAGCGATAACTCCAACTGGCAGGTAGTAATAAATAGGCCAAAAAGGGAATTACAAAAAAAGCATTAATCCTTCGTTTTTCAAATACAAACATGTGGGCGTCGAACAATACTAGAGCACATTCACGAGAGCGTTCATAACGGCCCATGAAATCGAAATCCTTTGGGATTCGCCAAGAAGTCTCGAGTTTTCATTCACGTTGTGTATCGGGTGAATGCTGGGTTTTGTAATACCATTAAAATGGGACATTTGACACGCTTTTTTAAAGTCCAACAGGATTTGCCAGCTACCACTTGCAGCAAGCAAATAGTAGTTACTTGATAACCATAACAATTTATTCTTGGTCCGTGGGAAAATTGTAAGATACTGTGTAGAGTGTAGACATTTTTTTTTGTAAACACAGTGGATGAGTTGGGAAAAAAATCAAAACGTTGGCGTTCACTAGTCCGCGTTAAAACACAATCAGTCAAAAACTTATTATTTAATTAAATACTTTGACTATACGGTTACATATTATGGCTTGGGTCCACGTGAGTCACTACGGCATATATTTAAGCAAATATACGTTTTGACGCTCCCGTCGCTTTACATACTTGAGAACATCATGTATGTACGTAATAATATCCACCTATTTACGAAAAAACAGTCCACATCGCGTCGGGGCCGTGGTGACACTCTGGAAGTACCGAGGCTTGGATTGGCTACAACCAGAAAGTCGTTTCTTGGATGATGCATCAACTTTTATAATAAAATAGGTGACATTCACAAACAACTAAGTATAAACAATTTCAAACAATTTGTAAAAGCTACCTTAATGGCAAGGGCCTACTATAATATCCAAGAATACATTGAGGACAAGGATGTTTGTAAATGACTCTTGCTCTGCACTTGCAAGACATCTGGCTGCTGCTGATTTTATACCGAAATAAATGTGTTTAATTGCATATTACAAAATAGTAAAAAGAACAAGACCGCAGAGTTTCTTGCTGGTTCTTCTCTGTGCAGGTCTAGTTTAGTGAACCGGTGGTAGATTTTGGTTGACGTTCAATAAGAGCTTAAGTTAGGCCCATATTGATTAAATATGCTTTGACTTTGACTTTGACTTTGATATTTTCGCTGATCTTCGTTCATTCGTGGTTAATAAGGCTGCCACCTTGTGTTGGAACGTTGTGTAATAAAATAATTTTTTTTTGCATATGAATATCCTTTTTTTGTTATAAATGGGATTCCACGAGCGCCATATTTAAATACATATGCTTACGAATGGATTCTGCCTCCGAGCGCAATATGAGAGTAATGCCAAAATCAAACCGCCTTGTTATTTCAAATTAGGTTTTTTTTGCAGAACTTCTTTAGGGGAGATTGTTTGCTGGGATTCCTAATAGAAACGTAACATTGAGATGAAAGGAATCCTCGGTAGCAAGCTGAAACGTGCCATTTCGAACCTTGTGCCAAAGGTATAAGGCCGCGACTAAGCGCAAATACCTACGATAATATATTCCTAAGATGTTGTATTCTACTTCGAGTGATTTTATACCTTATACCATTGGAATAAATGCGTTCCGCAGGTTGTTGTTCTCTCTTGATTTTTTCCCGAGGGCCGAGTATCTGTTCTGACAGTTTTATTAATTTTCGTTTTCCACAAAACTCTTATTAGTCGTGTTATTTTTACTTGTATTTTCCTCAACCTTATTTGCTTTGGAAATTATAATTTCAAGCTGAGCAATTCGCTGTAATGGAATTTATTTATGGATACTATTATAAATATATCTATTTCTTTTGAAAAATGTCTATATATCGTGGTATTGGTTTAAGGTTTGGAGACAATATTTTTTACGCAAATACTAAGTTATTTCTGTCAGCGCCGGGGGTCTTAAGTACGATATTCACATGGGACTTGTTGGGATACACAAGTATATCAGATCTGAGTGTTTGTTCCCAAGGAAGGTTGATGTCAGACGGCTGCTCGTATGCTGCGGTTCAGTCCCGCCGAGTCACGGGGGAAAGAGAGAGAGGCCAAACACGACTCCACTTCGCTTGCAGAGGACAGGGAGAGTACTCCTCTATCACCTGCCCTTCGCAACCTCTTAACATGCATTCAGATTAGGTTCAATCAGCCGGCCCTCTTGTGCTAGCCACCACAGGTCAGTCTAGTGTGGTTTCCTCTTGGCCTTATCGTAAGGAACTAAGCCATGCCTACTAAGCCCTCCATCCATTGCACGACGGGAAATAGGTCGGAGGTGTTAGTAATAATCTAGCAAATATTAATAATATATCCATATGTTGTACCGACCCCACCTAGATAGGAGAAAGAAGAAGAATTGGTATGATAATACCTGGTTTTCATAATACCCATTGGCCTGTTTGCCACTCTTTCAAAAATCTAGTCAAGGCTTGGTGAATAATTACTATATTTTGCATCTGTTTGATGAGGTAATCGGGGTCTACTATTTAGACGTTGACTCTGCAGCCCTAACAGTTTTAATGGATTTACCCGTGCTTATTTAGAGTTCAAATTTCGAACGTTTTGAATACACAGAAGCGTTCATGTGCTCGAGACATAATTTAATGTGATAGAGTCCGTAAAACAACTTAGAATCGTTAAATGTGTAATCTTAGAATCTTAGTGTAGATCACTAAAGTTATTATCGTTAAAGTTTTGCCCGTTAACTGATGTCATTCTTAATACTAAAGCCAATGCGATAAAAGCGACGCGTTGGCGAGCTTTCATGTATCATATAAGCCGAAAATGTCAAGGCCTTTGCCATTTTAAAATAGGAACATACAAAAAGAAGAGAGTTTCTATTCCATGCATAAAGCTCTTGCAACAAAGCTCAAAACAATTGACGACTTTGCTCTTTAAAAAATGAAACATGAAAAGGAGATCATTAGTGTTATTTGAAAACAGTTTGTATTACAGAAATATGTTATCTAACCATCTTGTAAATAAAGCCGAAAATTATAGACGTTTTTGCTCTTTAAAAATGGAACATATAAAATTTGAGAGCACAACGGTAATCGAAGGCATTCCGGGCGCCGCGTAGCCGCCACTAGATATGTGGATAGATTCGCGGATTCCCACAAAGCTCGCACCGACAGCAATCCCGTTTTAGTGCCTCAATCCCGGTCCCGGCGAATAAAAGGCATATTTCGCTCGCCGACGCTGGCGAAATTGTCATCGCAAATAGCTTTCGCCCGGGGCGTACGAATCGGACGCTTCTTAAACTGCGTAACTTGAACCGACGCGATTCGTTTTCGATCTTATCACTATCACAATAGAGTTCGAAATACTCGTGACGTGTTCGCATAGAGAAAATGTAACAATGAAAACGCCAGCGTCGCCCGCGTAAATAAGATTCGTTGGAATTTCATTCTTGTGGACTCTATGTTTAACACAGTAGGACTTAAAATGTTTCGCGATGGAAAATCTGAACTTGAAACGTCGCTAGCCTGACGCTCGATATCAAATAAACATTGTTGCAGTCGCAAAACGCCTTAAGCGCCGCGCACACACTGAAGTCACTTTAAACTTTCACTGCGACACTTTAAGCTCAAAATGGTTAAGTGGGGGGTCAACACTAGGATTTTCGCCGGGGGATATGAACGGGACGACTTGATAGGCCTTTTGGCACGAGTGAAGGGGACAGCGATATAGCTCGGAGCGCTGTGATTGGTCAGGAAGGCCGCAGGCTGTGAACAGTAGCCCGCCCTATGTCTACTGTAAACGGTTACGCTTGTTTAGTAAAGAGGCGTAACTCGTGAAATATTTTTTTATTAAAGTTTATTTATTAACTTAAATTTCCAGACGCACACGTATATAAAAATTATTTCGATATTTTATTTTTATGCTGTTTTCTAGTTTATACTAAGGCTACGGTTTTAAGTCTTTAAACTTCTTATTAGCTATTATATCTTCATCGGGTCTTATGTACTCTATTGTAAAACTAATAACTGAATGTTTTTAAAATATATTAATAATTTAAGAAGAATACTAAAAGTACAGAAAATGTATAGGAAGAGTTGGACATCTTCTTTTCTAAAATGCAACATAGGCATATTAAATATAGCGTACCGTTAAACTGTACACTATAATGTAATACAGGCACAAATCCAGCATATTTAAGTTGGCATTGCAGCCTTTGCTGTCAAAGTGTTTCTGTGTTTTTAAGATATTTTACATAAAAGCTAAATTAGTTGATCTGGACACTGTAGTTCAATAATAAAATATGAAATAAAAGTAATAATAAAATATTATAAAAATAAAACTATGATAAAAAACTAATAGTGGTGTAGTTTGTCACTGGCGGGGATCGACCTGAGACACTAAAGCCTATTTTCGCCAATCTGGTCCGTTTTAATTACAGATAGCTTGGAACTACGAAGTGTTACGAACGAAGTGAAAAACTATTGTAGCAAATCACAGTTGCCGCCTTCTGCGGTAGCGCCGCCGCCGGTGACACCAGGGGCGAAGTCCTACAGCGCTCGGGGCGTGGCGCTTACGCACACAGACGCGGGACACCCCATCGTGGACTTCTAAACGGGGCTGCCACCCTTGCAAGTTTTCCCTCGCTCGGCAGCCCTACGTTCTACGTAGAGACTACGTGCTACGGGGTTACGCCGTAGTCGGGGGGTAGATTTCAGGATTTACGGTGTAAACTAGCCGACGGGAACGTGACATCATGTCCGGTAGAGTCTTATATGGTATAGGAAGTAAAAATGTAAAGATAAATTATAAATTATGGTAACTCATTGAAACTTTGCCAAATTTAGTCGAAACTTGATATACTCATTAGAATTAAAAGCGACAAGACAAGATTTCTTGTATTTACAAGAATACTGCACGATATGAAATGATACTGGTTTACAGATAGTGTCCTGTCTACTGTAGACGCCGTAAAATGTTTGATACGTTGATAGATGCTCGTAAATCAAAATAATAAGCGATAAAATCCGTATATTCTCTTTTAACAATAAAGATAACACAAAGTTTGGTCACGAAAACGCTACCATTATCGAGGAACTTTACAAAGTGTCCAGGACTGAAAAAATAAACATATTTAAAAAAAAACATGAGGAATCTTAGCTGACAATAGCACTTTCATTGTTACAGTGGCTCACACTTTGTGTAAAGCCGAAATAAACAGGATTATGAATCATGCAGTAAGAACAAAGAATTGTTTAAAAAAATAATAAAAAAAGATTTAAAACCAGAAACTCAGAAATCAAAGATTACTACAGCAGATCAATAATTACTAACCGAATCCACCCTAAATGTATGATGTAAGTCAGTTATTTTATCTACAGAATTACCGAGTTAAAAATTTCTTAAGTCATTTTAATAATTATCTCTTAATGTTCGTAACTAAATGCAGACATTTAATCCAAACGTACATTTAGGTCCCAAGAATCTTTTTTTTTCCTATTTGAAAAGTTGTCAAACCGGTTAACCTGATGTTAAGTCAGAGAGTTTGCAGATGCGTTGACAATTTTAACCTTTAAAAAGTAGGCCTCTGTTACCTCACTTAACAGACGAAACGCGAAATGTGTATGCTTCCAATTCACGGTTTGGTACTTCTCCGACACGCCTTTATCTTCTCACTCTCACTATCAGTTAAACGTTTTAACACACATGTTAACATACCTTTTTATTAGGTAAGTGTTTCATTTTTGTAGCGTGTGAATATTGAAAATCATAAAATGTAAATAGTGTAAACAATATTAATATGGCAAGAGACAGTCTTAACGGCCTTGATCGTCTTATAAGGACTTTGATATACTTTGTTTTGATTTATTTGACGGTTAAATAATTTCATCCTTAAATAAACGACTGCTATGTTTATTAACTCTGTTACATGATCCTCTGTCTCTTTCGCACGTCTTTTATTTGCGACCTGAGTGAAAGGGAAGACCAACGGCACGGTTAAAAAAACGTAGGCCGAAAGGCAATCGCCCTTTGTAATCTCGTTAGGCGAATGTTTGATGGAAATAAAGGTGCGTAATTATTTAAGAAATTCGGGGGCCGAGAGGAAAACACACTCCCCTCCGCCCCAACTTCTCCTTCCCCGCGCCGTGCGGAAAGACAGCGCGGGACCCTTGTCATAATTATTTTTCCATGGAAACTTTCGCCCACCGCAACTTTGCTTATGGGAAAAAATTGTCGGCAGCATAGTGTGGATGCGATCGGATTATTTTATTTCTTCACTGATAACATTCCTTCATCAGCATATGGTGCAGTTGGAAAAAAAAGGTATTATATAGTGAATGTTTCTACGATCGGTCGAGTTTTTTTTTTGTTTTAGAGATAAAATGGGCGTGCTTTTCCGAGTAAGTTATAGTATAAGTAGAAGTACTTCGGTACTTTTACTATCAATTGTTCAATAAAAATAGTCAAGTCGTTGGAGCATGTACTAGTGACAATCGCTCCAATGGCTGTATGTATATGTAGTAATCTAAATTTATTATTATTTTGTAAACACAGTATTATTCTTCACATTATTATTATAAATATATAATATATTAATGTTTCTTGTACTCAGCGGTCTGTTCTACGTGAGTTCAGTTTATGCATTGATAATATAAGTGGTTATTATATTATGATGATTCCAAATTACCCCCACGCGCAGGTTTTTCCGCGTGTTGTATTTAAAACTGGAACGCAGATTTCCATTTGTACTGGTTTCTGTTTATCGATGATATGCTTGAAGTAGTTCTACGCTAGTGAATTCATGATGTTTTCAATATTTTTTCGAGCTGGCAATGTCCATAACATTCCAAAGTTAACAAGTCCGCTTGTTATGAAAAAGTTTATATCCGACAAATACTCGTAATAAGAGCCGAGGTTTTCCGCAAACTGCGGTTCGCTTAAGTACACACCATAATGAAATAGCTGAAGCTTACCACAAAAACATATAAATTCCCAATTTAATATGGCGTATGTTATTTAATAACACATCACAAATTATTATAAAAATTATCATTAAATCTGTACATCATTTAAGTTCATTTTAGATTAAATTTCAAAACAACATTTAATCAATATGACGCATTTTTGTATTATTCTATTTTAAAAAAAAAACAACTTCATAACTCTACGGGATTTATAGCTATATAATTGAAAAAGTTAACGATGCAAAAGCATCCGGATCTTTTGTCGAGCTTGGTTAAGTTATAAAATAAAAATGTCACGTGATTAAGTGCATTACTAATTGTCTAAATTGTGGCGTACGTTTGTTTACGAGTTTAGTGCGTGAAAATGTTCGGTCGCGTCATTAGCCACGGTCGGTTACCGTGCGGTCAAGATCACTATCTGGTATTTCACTGTCACATTACCATAACGGCTAATTAACTACTTGACTAGCCCTCTTGACGGTAAATATAATTATAATTAACACGATAGCAAAATGCAATTACTCAGTAAAGGCGTATTGATTTTATCACTTTTTGTTTCTGTCGTTTGCGTGTGAATTATTGTAATACTAGCGACCCGCCCCGGTTTCGCTTCTTCTTCCTCTTGAAACACTCTATCTAGTTAAAAAAACCGCATCAAGATGCGTTGCGTAGTTTTAAAGATCTAAGCATACATAGGGACAGACAGACAGCGGGACGACTTGGTTTTATACTATAATAATAAACAATAAATAAAGTAGTAGTGATGATGCTCATTATTTTTAAACATAGCTATGAACTGGATGCTTTATAAATAAAGTAGTAGTGATGATGCTCATTATTTTTAAACATAGCTATGAACGTGATGGATCAGTGTCCGGGCGCTCGCCTTTAATTCATATATATATTAATGTTTGCAGGCACTAGATGTCTCACGTGCTCCGCGGTTATCGTGAGGAAACCTGCATATTTTTATTTCGTAAGCCAATTATACCACTTAGTTAAGGCTATTTAATTGTTCATTATTTTTAACTCTTCTTTTCAAAGACAGTATGTCTTGAATCCGGTTGGAAGCTGTATCTTTGGAATGCTACGGTTAGGCTTCATTTTTTGTGAGAAGGTGGCAGGGGAGCCGGCGGTTTACCTGATAATAAGATTATTGCCGCTCATTGACATTTGCAACACCCGCAGGCATGCGGATGCGTTGCCACCTTGCAATAAAGTGGGCCCCGACTAACTCGAAATTACGACGAAACACAGTATAAGTATAAGATTTCCACATCACGCCGTTCTTCTATGAGAATGTGTTAATTCCCTGGACGGGTCTGCTCATTATAGCAATGGCGAAGAATGTTGAGTGGCGCTACCACAGTTGAAAGTTCTTAGCCGGATTAATTTAGATTCTGATTTGGATCGTTATTTGATTTATTCTTTACATCTCCATCTTGCAAATGAATCACACACATGTTCATATTGTTTACGCTCGATAGTCATTAAATGCTGGAGAATCATTGTTGTTTTGCTGTACTAAGAATCGCTAATTAATACGCCTTGTTCAATTATTCTGATTACGAAAGATTACGGTTTGAAATGATTAATCCACTTAACTGAATGTTAAATGTTATGCTGTAGTATGGTAAGCACTCTATCCTTGTATACCTGTTGTATTTAATTATTAATTTTAAGTTTTGGCACTGGTTTAGATAAAACTGCCGTGACACTTTTTTTTTTCAAAACATTTTGCGAAAGCTTCTTGTACATAATTTACCCATAGCTTTTTTATTTCAATGGGCTTTAAGAAATCTGATGGATCATCTGAACGCCAATGGACGTTCATAACACCAGAGATGTTATGGGTGAGTTGCCGGCCTTAGGGTGAGAGCTTCTTTCTACCTCAGTCATCAGACAAAACGTAAATGTACAACGGTGTTAAGTAAATAGTTCATGCTCTTCTGTCGACCCTTGATACGGCCACGGTTCAGCTGACCTAATCGTATGGATAGTACTGTAAGCAGTTATATCTCTTCCTTACCATGTCATCGATGTTATTAATGAGCCTAAGCTGTTGTCAACGTTGATAATACAGCGTAAGTGTTAACAGTATCAGCAGTTCATAATTACGCGGTAATGGGACGTCAAAATAACGTTCGATTAAGATAAATTATTTTCTAATGTAAGAAGATGGCAAACTGGTGGGTCACCTGATTTTAGGCGATAACCACCGCCCATGGAGATTTGCAAAACCTGTAAGGTGGCAGATACGTGCAACAGTGATGTCTGTTATGTGGCCCTACCACGGTTAAAAGACAAATAGCTTCAGATTCGAAGAGAACTATACTTACCAATCACATGAATCTTTAACATCGAGAAATCCTTCATCACTGAACTTACTCACTAATTAAAATGACACTCGCTAATTAAATGAGCAATAAAATATGTAATACGTATGTATGTAAATGCTACGAATACGGAACGTCGGTTTTCGTGTTCGTAGTGTTAAAGGTTAAACGTTTTAAGATTTTTCAGCAATCATCATCATCATCATCATCATTTCAGCCTGTTTGAGTCCACTATTTGTTCAGCCTGTTTTCAGCAATAAACCAATGTAAATGAGAAAACGCGACTGATTACAAATAAAAACTAAAATTT